TTATACACCCATCAAATTGCTCTAGAAGACTTGTATAAAAGCCAGAAGTACTGTATGCCTTCCCCCCATTTTCCATTTCCTACAGCAATGACTTCCAAAACGTTTAGCTTGATATTACTTTTGCCTCTATGTCTCCAAATAATATGCTTACATTGCTTCCTCCTGATTTTTGAAACGTTTTAGCTATTATCTATTGATGTTTCCTTAAAGCAGATGAGGTTCATTTTTTTTCACCACTTCCTCCCCTTACACAAAGCCTCCACTACACACAGGAACATTTCCCAATCCCTCAAATTCCTAATCTAGATATGTCATAATTTAGGTTAGATCAATACGCATGGTTTACATTACAACTAGACAAATGCTAGTTACAGCTCAGCCACGTTGCATACTCTGATTATTCTGAATTTTTCTGCATGTTTTGCTATATTTGGAGTTAATAATTGTCTTTTTTTTGGTACCACAGTTTTCTATGAACTGATCACTAATTTAACCACAAAGTCTTCATGAGCTGTCCCAATATCCTCTGACTATGTTCTTGCATTCTAAGAATTCCATTTAATCTAGAAGAAATCTCAACCCTGAGTTTTCTGACCTACTCCCATTTGAGATCTCTTTTCATTATCATCTTGAGGAACCCTTTTGCCTCTATCACGTGCTAGCTTGCTTGTTTTCTATATTCTACATTTTCTCTTTATCTTGATTTAATCTTGTTTTGGTGACAAGCATTCTTCAGTAGCTACCTCAGACAGGGCATAAATAAATAAAAAGTTTTTTGATTTTGTTTTTGAGAATGAATTTTAGCCTTATGTTTGGTTGATAGTTTTGCGGGGTATAAACTTCTACTATGGAAATTATTTTCCATTGGGCATTGCTGCATTGCCATTTGGCTCTTGATGCTGCATCCATTTGGCAGGAATCCTATGTTTTCTCTGTGCCTGCATTCAAGAAGCATTTGGAGATAGTCATACTATTGGAGAAAGTCATAGGACAAATTATAAATTTATGATTATCATTATAATTTTATAAAGTTATGATTACTAACATCAACTGACTTCTTATCAGTGCCAACTCATCCTTTTACAGATGCAAAGGCTATGTAAAAACTTCTCAACTACCAAAACCAAACCAAATCTCTCTACTCTCTTCAAACCTATGACTGCCCCCTCTCCCTCCTACTCTTCATAGATAACCTTGACTTTTATTCTTTTGGGAAAATACAAGCCATCATATGGGAATTCCTTCCTGTTGTAAAAATGCAACCTACAAACTGACCTATATTTGTACCCATGTTGTTTACTTTCTGAATAGCTGTTTGTCCTTTTATTATCTCTTGTAATCTATTCTGTTCATGCTCTCAAAACCTGATAATAATTGTTCTTCTCCTTCTTGTCAAATACTCAATTTCTGCCACCTGAATCTTTTCCAGTCACTTTGAAACATGCTTAAAATTGGCAAACCATTAAATCAACCATCTAACCAACCAAACTACCAAACCACCAATGAGCAATAAACAGGCTCTCTTTACCCCCTTTATCCTTCAGCTATTGCTCCTTCCTCCCTTTCTCAGCCAAACCTTTTCCAAAGAGTTATTGTTACTTCTCATTTCATTAGCTATACCCACTCCTCAACCTCTCCATTATGGCTTTCTTGCTAAGGCCCCAGCAACCTCATAAAAAATGTTGACTTCCCTTAGTATACAAAGATGATAACACTTTCCTTTTTGTAATAGTCTTTTCCTGAGTTACACAGTTGTATTTGTTTCTTCATTCTTCTTTCACTGCTGCTTCTATATCCTTTCACATTACACTGTCCTCTACTTGACCACTGTCAGAACTTTAAAAAGTCACGTTCTTTGGTTCTCTTTTCTTCTAACTCTCTTCATTTTCCCTAGACAGTCTGACCCAGGTAGGTGGCTAGAATTATTACCTATAAACAAATAACATATTTTAATCTCTAGCCAAGATTCCTTTACTGAATTCCAGACCTATTCAACTGCTAACCACGACATCTCTTCTTGGAGGTCTCAACATCATTTCAAACTCAGAATGCCAAATTCAACTTCATGAGCTTTCCTCCATTGTGATTTTCTTTCAGTATTCCCTGTTTCAGTTAATGACACCTATCTCTCTCTTATTGTGTTAGCCAGAACCCTAGAGATATTCTCAGCATTTCTCTTCCCATCACACTATTTCTAATTCATCACCAATCAACTTGGTGATACTTACTGTTGAAATATTTCTCAAATCCTCTCAAGTCTCTCATCTTCGCCAACTATGTAAGCTAGCAGCATTTATTATCTAAACTTCCTCTACAGTCTCTTAATTGGTCCAACTGCTTCTATCTATCCTTGTCCCTCAGTCTGTTCTCCACACTACAGCGATAGTCAACTTTTTAAAATGCAAATCTAAGCACATCTTTCTTTACTTACAGCCTCTATATGATTTCCTTTTATTCTAAGGATAAAGACAAACACTCCTTAATTTGACCTATGCTGCTTACATATGCCCCCTCTTACTTATAGCTCCTGCCCCAGTGAGTCCTAATTCCTTGTTTCCTTGTACCAACTATGCTGGCCTTCTTTTAGTTCATCCAAAGGAGGAATGCATACTACCTCCTTCTGCTACAGGGTCTGTACTTGTGTTAATCTTGAGAGCCAATATGACTTATTGGCTAAGCATAAAGCACCTGAAGCCTAATTTTCAAGAGACCGCCTGGGTTCAAATTCTGATTCTTCAACTTAGTTCTACAACCTTGAGCAAGTCATTTTACCTTTTGTGCCTCAGTTTCCTCAACTCTAAAATGAGGATAATTGTAATATCCACCTTCAGGGATGTTACTATGATCAGATGGTCATTTGCAGGGATGGCTCTTCCCTCCCTTGCCTAGTTAATTTCTCTTCCAATGTCTATTCTGAGCTAGAATCACTGTTTCTGAGAAGCCTTCTTCACTGACCTCTCTGAATCCAATTATTATAGGTTTTCTCATATCTTGAGTCTCTTGTTTGTAATGCTTGCTGCAGGCATGATTTTATATTTGTGATTTTTTTTTTTTTTTTTGGTCAATATTCCTTCTCATTAGAATTTCAGCTCCAGGGAGGAGCATAGGAATGTGTCTGTCTTTGCTCACTATTCCTTGGGCTTAACAGTGCCAAGCACATAGGAGGGTGCCAATAAATATTTGTTGATAGAAAAGCACAGTAAACGTCCCTGATGGAAGACAGTGGGAATGCTCCTAGATAAACCCTTTTGGTGCTGAAACTAGTGCCTTGGATAGAAATTAACAGTAATTAACAAGTTTATAAAAGGAACACATGGTGGTGAATCAGAGCAGTTAAGTGTGCAGATGCTCTCAGTTCTTCAGGAGGTGACTCTGGGCAGGAGGGGTCTCTGCTCAAAAGGTAAGACTTTGTATAAGACCCACAGACCTGGGTCCGATTCCTGACTGTATTATCTGCTGCCAGACCATCATAGTCAAGTTACTTTATTTCCCACGGTCTCAGTTTCCTCATCTGTACTCGTCACGGGGTCAATTCTTGTTAACTAGGGAGCTGAACCTGAAAGAATTTTGATTTACCTTCAACATATTCCATGATTATCTACAGGCCTGTGCCAGTGATATGGCTCTTCCTACATGTGAGCCAGGAAGCCTCCCTCTGTGGCGCAGCGACAAACTGCTATCCCCATCGTTCCTCTCCGCAAGTCTTTGTGCTTTGGGTCATAAAATAATAGGCTATGAATCTGTGTGAACTGGGAAAGCAGAGTTCCAAGGGCACACCCAGTACGAGCGAGTCTTCTCTTCCCCCGCGCTTCATATCCAAGCCTGACAGAGGCCGTGGGTGGGCTGGCTCTGGGCAGTGACGCTCAGAGGTTACTGGCCGTCATCTGTCAGAGACTGACCTTGAAAACAGAGAAAAGCCCTCAGTCCCTGACAAGACAGCCCTGCCCACATGCCAACTGGATCCAGCTCACCAACATCGCAATCTCCGAGCCCCTTTTCTCCTTAAAAAAAAAAAAAAAAAAAAGTCTGCTGAGTCCATTCCTTGAGAATCACAGAGAAAATAATTCCTTCTCCACTCCATTCAAGAAAAAAAAAATTCCTACTCTCAGAATAAAAAGAGTAAGCCTCTTGTCCACCTCTCGTGCAGCGGGTCACTTTGCTGGGAGGAGAGGAAGTGTCTGGGTTTGAACCCTTCCTGGAGGTATGAACTACATGCGAGCCACGTCCATGGCGATGTCTGTGAAAGACGAGCATGATTTCTTCTCCAAGCCTTCTTTTTCCTCTTCCTCACGTTCAAGCTTGTGGAACCAACTGGGGCTGTGAGTTTCAGGGGGTAGGGCATGTATGTAAACAGCGCAATTGTGTATGCACTTAGTGTGCTTTCAGGATTCGGCTGTGCTTGAACTTGGCGTGTCTGTGTCTGTGTGTTTGGAGGAGGATTATGAGAGTATGTAGGGGTAAGAGATTTGTATGTGTAAGTGCAGAAAAGTAGTAGTGTGTGATGTGTGTGTGTAGACAGGAATTACGTGGACACTCCATGTGCATTCAGAAGTGTGTGTGTGTTTGAGGAGCTATGAAAGTGCATGTACGGAAAAGATTTATACGTAAAAGTGCAGAAAGTGGCAGTGTGTACGTGGTGTGTGTGTGCGCCCAAGTGTGTGAGCGCCAGAGGCCGCCCGCCCGCCGCGGCTCCCCGTGGGCTCGCCGGGCCAATGAGCGCGCGGCTGCAGGGGCGGCGGGCGGGGAGGGGGCGCCGGCCCTGCGGATGGAGGCGCGGGCAGCGCGGCGCGCTCATTCCGCGCGGGCGTTGCTGGCGGGGGGCGGCGCAGCCACTGGACCCGGACCGGGGCCGCGACCCGGGGCAGCGGGCGGCGTGGGCGGCGCCCGGAGCTGGGATGCGCCGGGGGCTCAGTGGCGGCGGCGGCGTTGGCGGTGGCGTCGGCGGTTGCAGGGGGACGAGCTAGCGCCGCGGCGCTGGGAGCCAGTTGAGCCCGGCCGGCGAGCGGAGGCGGCGGCGCAGGCAGAGCGGCGGCGGCAGCGGGAGCCCGAGCGCTGCGCGCCCACCATGGCCGCCCAGGGAGAGCCTGGCTACCTGGCGGCGCAGTCGGACCCCGGCTCCAACAGCGAGCGCAGCACTGACTCCCCAGTGCCCGGCTCCGAGGACGACTTGGTCGCTGGGGCGACCCTGCACAGCCCAGAGTGGAGCGAGGAGCGCTTCCGCGTGGACAGGAAGAAACTTGAGGCCATGTTACAAGGTAGGCATCCCCGGTGTTCTCGGACTCCCCAACTGAGCCTCCAACTCCTTCTCCGACATCCCCACCGCGCGTCCCGGCGCCAGTTACTCCAGCCTACGGCCGGTTTAGCTCCAGGCCCGCTCCCCCGCGGAGCCGGAGGACACCCAGGGACTGGAGACTTCGCGGGACTCCCCACCCTTCCACGCCTCTCAGGTTTCCAGGCGCTGCGGGCCCTGTGCGAACTTGACCGGCTTCAGAAAAGCCGAAGGCCGAGTTTGTACTGGTGCGCCCAAGTTGCGTTCTGGACTTTGGAGATGCCAGCTTTAGCCCGGATACCTGGGCTGTGCCATCCGGACCACTCAGGCCGCACAGAGTATGCGTGACCCTCCCCATGCCCTGGCAGCCTCGAGTTCTGTCTCTCGCCGTCGGTTTCACTCGCTCCCCTTGTCAGTATCCACTTCCTCCAGCTGAGGGGCCTTGTCTCGCTATTGGGAAACACTCTGCAGATGTCAAGGCTTAAGACAGGAGCTCCTGCCCCCACCCCTGTGGTCAAGGAGGGCCAGGATGGGGGTGAGCAGCCAAAGCGAGGGGAGAGTGTGGAGGCAGTGCTCCTGTGTTTGATGACAGTGTTCATCTCTTGACAGGCTTTTAAAACACATCTTGAGTTACATTCAGTCCATAAAAATCTTCCGATGCTATGGGTGTCTGACTTTGTCTTTCGCAACTTAGCATTATTTTTAACTCTTTAATTTCTTTGGGACTTTCCCAGACAGAAAATCTTCAACCATACTGGACCGAAAACAGATTCTGATTTATAATGCGAGTATTGGAGTGAACGTCAAAACGTCCAAGGTCATTTTAACCTTTCTTAAAACCGATAATTACTAGCCTACCTGTAGCCACCGATGTGGCTCATTTCCCACATCCAAAGAGAGAAATGAGTTAGTTTGAATGACTGTTATTCTTAAAATACGTGTACGGTACCAGGCATTAGTCTCACTTGGGGCGCTGGTGAAGATGCATTCAGTAGCTAGTGTTCTTTTATCACGGGAGAGTTTGGAGCTTTTCAAACTTTCTTTGTGGCTTTATGCATAACTTACTTTGATTTTATCAGTCAGTGCATCGCAGTCTGGGAACGATTTAGCCCTCGGTGGAGATGCAGTGGCTTTTTAGAACAATTAAGCAGGTTATTTTAAGAGAGAACAACATGTTTTCCAAAACAATAACTTGGTGGAAACAAATAGCAAGAGTGTTTGGCAGGCGTTTTTTGGATGTGCTACAGGCTTTCCTCCCTTGTTGCTTATTTTTATTGATAAACATCCCTAATGTGTGTCATGTCTTTGTCTCTCCCCTTTCCTCTCTTTTTTTCTAAAATTATGTAACTTTTGAGGAGAGTTACTTCTGTGATAAACTCTTCAAGTAAGACCGTTATAAGATAGATTTGGAAATTAAAGCCCCAGTTGCATTTCAGTAACTCATTTTAGTTATTTTGTCTGTTCTGTGGTTCTATTTGTCTAGTTTCTTTATGATTATAAGACAAATATTAAATTTTTGTGAGGCGTATATTGTGAGATCGTTTGGAATGAACTGATAGTAGCATATACTCATCCTTTTATCAACCAGCTTTCAGTTTTCTACATGAGTTTGGAGTGATATGAAAGAATGATCTGTTTCACCTGCGCACAAACAAGTAAGGACAGTGATGTTAGCTTCTGGGAAGTTCAAATGTATAACCTGAGCTTTATAAGTGGATTTCCTTTTTTGAATTAACTCATTTTCACTTTGAATAAAATGAAATTTTGATGAGACTTTTTGAAAATGTGAAGGCCCTTTTGTATTAACAGATGTGATATTACGACCTGAAATGGTTTGAAATTGCTTTGCAGTAATAAAGTTTCTTTTTCAGAAAGTCTTAACATCTCTTAAACAACTGATATACAGTCATGCATTGCTTAACGACTACGACTGGGATGCGTTCTTAGAAATGTGTCCTTAGGCATTTTCATTGTGCAAACATCATGGAGTGTAGTTACACAAACCTAGATTGTGTAGCCTGCTACACCTACTACCTAGGCTGTATGGTATAGTCTCTTGCACCTAGGCTACAAATAATGTTACTAGGCTACAAGGCATGTTACTGTACCCAATACTGTAGACAGTTGTGGCACAATGGTATTTGTGTATCTAAATATATCTAAACATTGAAAAGGTAATGTGTTATGTTACTATGGCTATGACATCACTAGGCGATAGGAATTTTTCAGCTTCATTATAATCTTATGGGACCATTGTAGTATATGTGATTTGTTGTTGACCAAAACGCAAATGTGAGCACTGGGATCACTAATACCTGGGTTCCAAACCCTATAGGATCTTAGGAAAGTTGCTGGGCCTCTCTCTGCCTTCAGTTTGCCCATCTGTAGAATGGAGCTGATACTAGGACGTTCTCTCTTAGGGTTTTGGGAGAATCGAAAGAGATGATGGCTAACAAAGCTAACATTTGCCCACAGTGTGTGGTCAATGATAAGAACTTAATAAATATCTGTTATTAATAATAGATATTGTATCATGGATTAAAAGGATTTCCAGTGCCTACCATAATGTATGAAATATAGTATATACTCAGTAAATAGTTGGGAAACAAAATAATTTTGCAAGTTCATAATTGCAGAAGTAAGATAGAAACTAAAGAAGTAAGTCTGTCAAGTCAATAAGCATTCTAGTATTGTTAGATATTCTTGGGTGGAAAGCTTTTTAATTGAAAAGTGCCAAGTAAGTAAAGTCTATATTTGAGTTTTCAATTATTATGAATTTGGTTGTGCTATTTTTATATTTACAATTGACTTTAAATAGGTACAGGTTTCCAATTTAAATCAGGATAAATAAGATTATCTGCCTTTAAGTATTCAGAGTGCAATTTGGTGATTGTAATGCTTGGAATTTGTTTCCAGAGAGACTGTCCTGGGGGCAAGTTAATCTTTAATGAGTTGTATTTTTATTAGTAGAGAAATTCTTCTACGCAATGGACCAAAAATTCGGTGAGGTTAATATATGGGCAATAGGGTAGTAGTCAAATAAATGAAATACCATTCTTAGATGATCATTGAAACTTAAAAGAATTGTTACAGATAAAAACCACCGAGCCAACAATGGAGGGAAATATCACTGTTTTTTCTTGTTTTTTTACTGGTGGGTTGGGGTCTAATAATTACTTCGACACAACCATGCAGAGTATCTGATGTTTTTGCTGTAAATGAAGATGATCAGTTTTATTAGTTTATAGTTTTATAAATGGAAATTTATTTTCAATTTTAGATTTTTGATGGGTGTTGTAAGCCTTGGAATGAATATCATAGACAGCATTTTTAATGATAAAGAAAATCCTTATGTAATTTCTTTATTACTGATCTTCGAATGTAAATTTCATGCATCATGTGAAATAATAGTATTGATTTATTTAAGTCAATTAAATTTTAGTTAAAGTTATGAGTTATGTATCATAACTCACATTAACTCAAATGTGAATTATCAGGGAGGGAAGGGAGGAGAGTGTTATAGCAGGAAGTCTGGGAGAAAGTAGGAAATAATTGAGTCAAGAGAATCAGAGATACAGTCTTGTTTGCCAGAGTACTGAGGCAATCACAGGGTTCCTATATTAATACTTTTCTTTTTAAAAGTATTTTTCCTTGTAAAAACATATATGTGTACTACAAAATTAAAAATTCCCACATATAACACAGCACTTCAAAGTATTAAAAAAAAACAAATTCCCACATAAAATTCAGAAGCACAGGCATTTTCAGAGTTTGGGAATCCCTTCTTTCAGTAGAGAAAGTAGTGAGTGTTAAAAAGTGGGACCTGTAGTGGGGAGGAATGGCCTATTTTCATGAAAGCAGATTGACATCTGGTGGGGTTTTATAACTGCTGCCAAAGACTTTAAGAACCATGTTGCGTTTTTGCAATGATAGGCAGAACTGGAGTCATTTGCTACTGGTTGGTTGAGTTAGCCACTAAAACGGAGGTTGCTGTACATCACTGATTAACAGGAGGAGCAGCAACTATGTTATCTCTTTAATTCAGCAAACTTTAGTGGATTTTTAAAATGATTTGATGAACAGATAATAATTTAGATTTTTTTTCATGAGAGTGGGAAGAAATATGAAGCCAAAAATGTATGAAAATGGGGGAGTACTGAAACTGAAGATATAGAGTAAAGCTTAAAGAAACAGAGTTTTCTAGCTAATGCTTGATCAAGGCTAATAAACAGCAAAAACAAATCAAATTAAGTTTATGAGCTTAGAGATTAAGAGCACAGGGCTCTGGTCCAAATCTAGATTTGAATCTTGATGCTACATTTTAATAGGGAGCTTGGGAGAATCCATCACTTGCGACTTCATTTCTCAAACGGGGCAGTTAATGGTAGTACTTACTTCCTGAGGTAGTTTTGACAATGAAGAGGAAAAAGGTGTCTGTAAGCCATCCCAGTGCTGGCAACATAGGAAATGCTGAATAAGCTAACAACAATATTCACTGTAAATCACAATGTATAAAATGCATATTCTTACATTGATCATGAAAATCAAGTATATTGGAAACTTTAGTTTGGTCTTAAATTATCTTATGATTAATGAACGGGCACAGCTATCTAAATATTATTATTGGCCTTCCTGGCAGCTTGCCATGTGTCAAGTATACTTGTAAAGATGGGTGGGTAAACATTAAGTAAAGCTCCATTAGACATGAGTGTGGAATTCTAGATTTTGCTCAGGATGAGGGCTTTTCACCCTTTTTAGTTGTAAATTGTTCTTGCTTTGAGTGTTTTTCATTCTTTGGTCCTGAGCCATTCACTTCTAGTATGGTTTACTAAAGACTAGCAGCAAAATCAGTTAATCTCTCTTCTAGTTGTAAGTTGTTCTGAATTTGTGTCATTCATTGGTGTGTAGAAAGAAGCTTTTTCGAAGAAAATACTCTGCCTGGGTTAACATGTTTCATTTGCTCACCTGTAAAATGGGGATAATAAT